AAGTGCTACTTTGGGCTGAGTAGGCAATTGAGAAGTAAAGTCCTCTCTCGTCGTACAAAGATCACACTCTATAAGTCACTCATCATGCCTGTGCTGGTGTATGGCGCGGAGGCATGGACTATGAAAGCATCTGATGAGGCGGCTCTTGGAGTTTTCGAGAGAAAGATTCTGTGAAAGATTTACGGACCTTTACGCGTTGGTGATGGCGAATATCGCAGACGATTTAACGATGAGCTGTATGAGCTTTCCAACGATATAGGCATAGTGCAGCGAATTAAAATTCAGCGGCTCCGCTGGCTTGGCCATGTCGTTCGGATGGACAGAAACGCTCCTGCTCTGAAAATATTCAACGTGGGCCGCGATGCTGGTAACAGAGGAAGAGGAAGGCCTCCTCTGCGTTGGAAAGACAAGGTGGAGAAGGACTTGGCTTCACTTGGCATTTCCAATTGGCGTCAGTTAGCACAGAAGAGAAATGACTGGCGTGCTGTTTTGGACTCGGCCAAAATCGCTTAGGCGGTTACAGCGCCAATTAAGAAGAAGAAGAAGAGATGTGATGAAATAAGTAGAATATTTTATAATAATACTAAGTTTCTAAATATATGTTTTAAAGATGTTTGGTATATAATTTCCCACTGTTTAATTCATTGTAACATTGAACGATTTTTTCAACACGGCGGCCGCTCAGCGTTGAATTCTTAATAGTTCGGCGCAACTATCTCTATTTGTTGCAATTTCATTTGTTTACATTTATCAGCTGTTCATGTGGCAGCATATTCATCAAGCCGTTTCTAAGACGTAATTGTTGGGCCCAACAATTGCCAGAAGTTTCGTAGCAGTTGAGCTAAACAGCTACGTCTTATGAACGCGCCCAATAACACCAATCTCTGTATTGCTTACTGCTAACCAGGGTTGCAATACTTATTAAGATTATTATTATTATTATTATTAGGAGATTTTTCAGGCAACTTTTAGTTGAAAGCAACAATCGCCTGGTGTAAACGGCCTTTCAATGAAGTTGGTCGGCTGCCTACTTTCGTTCAACTTTTGATTCAACTAATTGCCTGTGAAAGTTGAATCATGTAAATTCCCTATTATTTATTATTAATTTATTTCTGACGTTGTATAATTTTGCTAATAACATACTTTGTTGTGAAACATTATCTAAAAATTCCATGCAAATCCATGTATCGATGTATGCTCTTCGATGCATCGAAAAAAATCGATGTACATTTCTATGCATTTTGGCTGCATCAGTGAAATCTTTTCTACGCTGACTACATTGAGTTCCATGTCGGTCATGCCTTAAGGGCTAGACCCATAACTCTGTCACTAATGATATAGACACAAAACACCGTATGTCTAGTTTACAATAACTTAACTTAATGTTTAGTGCAGGTATACTATATACTCTTACAGTATGTATGCCAAAGTCCATATGTACAAAATCCCACTTAATTATGTATGTGGATATGTAAATTTTCTGTTTATGCTAGTATGTATGTATTTAAGTATCTGCACTAAATAGTTAATGATAATATGTGCTTATATACATACATAAGTATATACATACATACATTGGTACATACATGTCCACAAACACGACAGCTATGCAAAGTTACAATTTCTATGCTAATTGCTTGCTTGCTGATTTTCTGTTGCTTAGTGAAATGAGGACGATCAAACAAGTTTTTGATCACTTATTTTTATGTTAAATCTTCAGTTTCATCATTTGTAGTACATATATGTCTCACAATAACGAGTAGTACAAGGTTATATGACACGTTTTTTTATTATACTCTATATTTTTGGAATTCCCGTTCGCTCAGTATATTTCTAAATCGCATTATAGTTATAATCATGATTCAATAATTTTTGGAAGGTAGTTTCACTTCAAAATTTTTGATATAAACCGTGTCTGTGACAAACACAAAATGTGGCCACTGCTATGATATAGAACTTGGGGATTTTCACTCGTTATTTTAGATATTTTTTAAAGAACATGTAAAGATTTATATATTTCATAACTGATCACTTCGTTTTTAATATACATATGTATACGTATTTAATACATACATGCCACTGCTAATTACATGAATAAAAATCATAAAACCGAAAATGTGACGGCAATATTTCTTGTTTAAAACGTTTTAGATGCATCGCACACCACGGACTTTATCGGCCACCGATTTAGTTGGGCTCGCCAGTCTTGCCATTGCTCTACAACTACTTGGTCGGAGCGAGTAAGGTTGTGTAGTGTGCGCACCGCCATAAATCTTCATGTACCCTGAAGTAAAGATTGTTCCAATTGTTTGAAAAATATAGTCGTAGGCATAGTAGTTTGGTATCTAGACCAAAGATTGTCCAAAAATTTAAAGCAATGTACTGTAAAACAGGTGAATTGTTCTAAAAGTGGTCAGAATGTAATGCATAAGGTATGAGGTTTGTTATAAAATTGGTTACAATGTCAGGCATATATGTAGGCACTTAGCCAACTAATTTTCATGTGCGGCGTTGGCGTGTAGTGGAGTATCCGCTAAGAAAATCAGAGAACCCCAGTTCGAATCGCAGCTGGCGCAAATTTTATTTTTGTGTTTTTTTTTTCCTCCCAAAATTGGTTACAATGTAATGCAGAAGCGGACAATTGGTCCGAGCCTAGGACATTCAATGTTAAATGTAAATAGAATTTTACATGTTCCAGGACCAAACTTTGGACTACTTACAATCACTTGCAGTCTAGTTTTTGGTGTGCTCTAAGTCTATTCCGATATCCTACAGGGTACATATTTCAAGTGAGCCCTACTATTTAACCAGGCGGCCGATAAATTCTGTGGTGTGCGGTGGTTCTTATAACTGCGTCCTTTTACCTATTCCATATCCATGGAAGCAGCAGTTAATTTTTCTTAATTTTGTGTGAAGAAAATTATTTAAAAATATTAAAAAATATCTTTAATATGTTTGGCGTTCCTTTGTTTTATTTTTCCAACGTCAAAAGCTGTATTTTTTTTAAACTTGGTACAACAAAAAATACGAAACACGTTTTCTGTCAGATAGCTAACATAGCGGATAAGAAGAAGAAGTGGAACTAACTTCTAAAAATTATTATATATTGTTATAATTATGAAAAACATAACCAAGTAGTATAAAAATGTATTTCTCACTTTCATTTCAACCAACGTATGGGGAATCAACAACTCGATATAAATGTGTATAACTGAAAACTATGTCGCTAGTACATTCTAGGGATATCAGTGCTTTTTAGGTTCCGAAAATTCCGGGATTTGCCTGTATTAATCCCGGGATCTCTAGAATTTTAAATATCGAATTGATTACAATAAAAGCCTTTCAATTTCCAAGAAACTTGTTTTAATGCAGTTGTACAATATGGCGTAAATTGCTTTGAATTGGAAACTTGATTACTAGGTAATATTTACAAATAAATCAACTCATTCAGCCGTACGGAGTAAGCTTTTATTTTTTAATTTTTTTTACAAATCAGGCAAAAAAGCTGGTAAAATAAGTTGTGAAATATTTTGTAATGGAGGAGATAGGGGTAATTATGTTCAAATGGCTATGATTACCTACAGTTCAGCCGGCAAGTGTTGAGGCCGAAAAATGTTTTTCATCAGTAGGTTTTGTATGTAACATGTTCAGGTTAAGATTAGAAGACTCCACTTTGAATGCTTTGCTGCTCTTACATACGTACGCATTGTAAATGCAATTATAATAATTAATCTTTTTTAATATGACTTTAGTTATATACCATTACTTATGTTTCTTTTATTGACTAAAATAAACACGTCAAGAGGTTTTATTTTTGTGTATCTTTTATGTATTTTTATTCCACAATCACATAGCTTTTTAAATACAATTTAAAAATTTACCAGATACTTTAAGATTTGTCTGTATTAATAAATATGTACGTGATTTTTAAAATCAGTTTGTCGTAAATTTTAAATAGATTTATTTTACGGTATGTTTAAATGTTTTCAGTTATTGAATTTTTACTCATACTCATAAAAGTTATGTCTCCTGGGATTACTTTAAAAATATTCCGAAATCCCGGGATCACAATTTTCCGCTAATACGGGCATTACTAGTACATACATCTAGCTGCAAGTGAAATAATACAAAATGATGTTGTTGGAAATTTGTGATTATCTATTACTTTATAATAATTTTAATGTAAAATAAAGTTCGAACTATGACAGAAACAACATATGTAAATAGAAGTTTCAAAGCTTGCACCAAGTTAACAAAACTTAATCAAGAAATGTTCATCAAATTTTCGAGTTTTATAATTTGATAGCTTCGAAACATTTGAGTATGCAGTTTTGCAGTCCATTCAACTCATGGGTTCTTTCCCGTACTCAACGCGGGATGCCGCGGGATTCTAAAACAGCCCAGAAATGAATCCCGTACTCAAACGAACGTATTGGATCGTAACTGTTTTCTTCTTCCTACCCTAAACAGCCCAGACTTTTTCTCCAGGTAAAAAATGAATAAAGTGTCAAAGTACATTCCAGCTGTTGTGTTGTTTACATGTTGCTTGCATTTGCTTTGTGATTTTAAGGAATAGTGAATGGCTTGTTGATATATTTTCAGTCTTTTTATGTGTGTATATGTACTTGTTTATCAATTACAATCAAAATGGTGAAACCAAAATTCAATTCAACGGTTTCTCAAATTCTGGGAACCAAATGTGGTTTTTTGCGTTTCCCGTAATTCTGGACATTGTACCATTTTAGAGAGCAAACTTTTCGTTCACTCTCTAATTACCGGACCCGGTTCGGATTGTGCCGGAAACAACCTAGTACCTATAAAAAATAAAGTGCAGGTTTCACGTTGCTTAAAATTACCGTTAGTTTTTTAGAGCATTTTAGATTGCCAGCATCATCATTTTGAATTTTGCTACTTTTATTATACTCACAGCTATACATACATACATATGTATATGAGAAAGATAATTTAATATAAATATATGAAATCCGTAAATCACTCACTTTCTGCTGCAACAAATAGTGTTAGGGTACCTAGCGCCAAATTCATAAATTTCTGTTTCATTTTCAAAAAGTTTTGGTTTTTTGATTTTCTTCACTAATATTCACAGCCTTAAATGTTGCAATAATAAATCGGAGCGTTTTGTCACCGTTCTTCTGCACTGTACCGCAACTGAATACAAACTATTTTTCTTTGTCTGTGATTCCAACTTTTGAAGACTTGCATCGAGCTAAGCCACGTTCATTTCCAAACCGGTTAATACTTTTTTAGCTTTATCGAAGTGTGGTTAAACAACTTAAAATCCAGTTTAATAAGAAATTGAGCAGAGTGTGAATGATGCCCACACGCCCATATGAGTACTTTGGTAAATTGACAGCGCAGTGCATACATATATATGCGTGTATGTACATTAGGGTGGTCCAAAAACAGTAAAGTCGGAATTGTAATGCTCTCAGGATTTTTCTATATCAAAAAATAGATCCCTATTTTTTATTTGGAAAACAAAAAGCGCTCAAAGTTTTCCATGTATTTTTATATGAGAAAAAAAAAACAACTTTTCGTAGAAATGGTATAGAATTCTTGAAAATCAATATCTTTCGATCGGAAAACTCTGGTTCTCTTCAGGAGACTTTCAATAATAATACCCAATTGTCGATTTAACCATTTTTTAATACTAACGATTTTTTATTGGTCCGCCTATTGCATTTTTCGGGGTTTTTGTGGGTTTTAGTTGAGACCTATAAATTATAGTTGCGAAGAAAAAATGGTTAAATAAACAATTGGGTATTATTACTGAGAATCTCCCGCAGGTAAACAGAGTTTTCCGATAGCAAAATATTTATTAAGAATTCTATACCATTTCTACAAAAAGTTTTTTTCCTCCATATAAAATACATGGACAACTTTGGGCGCTTTGAGCGCCCTCTAAATATTTTTTGATTTCAAAAAAAAAATAGGGGTATATTTTTTCTATCCTATCTCGGCAACCAGTTCGAAAACGCCCTATCTCAGAAAACTTTCCAACAACGCCGTATTTCCGAATTTGTTTGAAGAACGCACTATTTTAGAATTTGATTGAAAAACGCCCTATCTCTTAACTCGGTTGAAAAACGCCCTACCTCAGGGCATTTTCAACGTATTTTCATTTGAGATAGGGCGTTCTTCATCCAAATTCTGCGATAGGGTGGTTTTCAATAAAACTCTGAAATAGGGCGTTCTTCAATCATATACTAAAGTAGGACGTTCTTCAAACTTTTTCTGAGATGGGGCGATTTCAAACTCGCTGCCGAGATAGGTCGATATTCCACTCAGCCATCGATATACAAGTATATGCAAGTGGCAACGATGGCAAAAAATATGAATTTGGAAGTATAAAATGGGCGCGTAGATATGTTAAGAGTGAGAGTGAAGCGAGTTTTTAATTATCAAGTGAAAAACTGAGGCTATATTATGAGGAAGATTACCAACAAAAAGTAAACAAGAGGGCAATTCACCTAAACGCGTAAATACCTCATAAACCTTACTAAATTTTGTATGGAAAACCGGTTTATTTACCACTTTTACGCGGTTACGAGGCATTTATGCGTTTGATGAATACCCTGAATGTCTTCAAAGAAAATAAAACGCGAAGTGAATCAAGTGGTAGACGTACTGTCGGACTGTAGACAGAAAAAGGGAAGCATTAAAACCCTTAAATTTTAAGGAGAATTATTTTAATACGACATTGATTAACTAAATATTACAAAAGGAATAAAAAAATGAATATTTAAATTTATCTATGTCGTTTCAATCAAAACGTTATAGATTATTTTAATTTCAGAATTTCAATGATATGTATGTATTTTTGAGGCCGATTGGAGAATCACATTGGAGTTCAAGTTTAGAACTAGCTTTTTCTCAACTGGAGAAACAGTCATATTCGCATACAAAGAAAAATGCCCTTTTGTTGAGAACGCTATGATGCTATGTTGAGGTACTGTTGAAAAACAACGTTCGAGATTTGAGAAATACCTTATTTCTCATCTTAACCTCAAATTCAGCTCAAATCTAAATGTTTGTTGGGTATATTGTACATGCATATGGATGAATTCACTCGTGTGTTGCGAGAGCACATTAGTACATATATACATATGAATACGTTTACAATTTAGCGAACCCTTTATAAATCGAACTGCAAAAGTCTCATAATCAAAAAAATCAAAAACTCTAGAAACACGGTTTAAACACGCTCCCATGGTAAAAATTAAACCTCATTTTATTCTAGTGAGCTATTTTTACGCAATATAGAAAAAGAGGTGGCATTAATTTCTGCATATACATATTAGGTTTATATATAAGGAGCTTAACTCCCTAATCTGTAATTATCCGTACAAAATTCGTCCCTCGTTAATGTGCAATTATAAAATAATCTCAGATTAAACCAATAACTTTTCGGTGCCC